AAGAGAGAGATCAGTCTCTGCTGACTTCAGCAGAGGTTTGATCTTGAAGAACATCTTCATCCAGGGCCAATTTTTGACCCCCATGAAGGCACGGATGTTCCACTGGATCACAAGAAGAGCATCCCTGCAGACATTTGACTTGTAAAAAATTCTGTAGTAATCCAGACTCTGCTTATTTAATGTCAATGAATCGTTTTTTCAGTCTTCAGTTTGTGAGTTTGAAAGTATCCATTATATCTAAATAAGCCTGAAAATATTAATTGTCAGAGTAAATTGTTTAATGTTGCCATTGTTGTACTTAAATTTGTAAACTTTGCCTTAAACAGCATGTTTAGATATTCTTTTGTTCTCCTCCCCGGCCTGTTGGATGCTGGGGAGGCTGTAATGTTTAACAGCAGGCACAGTCCATGTGAGATTCTGGTTTCCTTATCTTGTGGAGGATGTTCACTCCCGGCCATTTAGCCATACTCATTTAGCCACCATATGCAAGCCTATGCTTGTATATGGTGAACCATTAAAGTTAGGCCATGTACGGGTGTGGGGAGATGTCCTGTGGATAACTAGGAAATGTGGTTAAACAGTTGTAAGCATATATTGTGTGGCGGGAAGTCATGTACAGAGACAATGAAGTGGCAGACACACACTTGCTACACATGCACACACACACACACTACACACACACACACACACACACACACAGTGTTTTAACTTTTGTGACCATATGGGTGTTACAATGGGTGGTGCTTGTATTCACTGAATAAAAGGCTGCAGGGAAGGCTGCTTCTTTGAAGCTGGCTGGGAAACAGGTGAGGAGCGTTCAGCTCCAAGAGCCTGGTTCCGACCAGCCTTCCCTTGCTATCAAGTAAAGACCGGTTAAGTTGTTGTCTTGCTTTCTTCATGGGTGATGAGTCTGTGAGCTAGCAGGCCTGCTGAAGCACAGAACCAACATTAATGAATAAATAAATTACGTTCTTTATTTAATTTGTACCCTTTATGAAGATGTTTTCAGTGTTCCAAAGAAAATACAATAGCTTGCTAGGATAGTGTAAGGTATTGAGACTATAATACAGTGTCAGTGGACTTTTACACCAAACTCATTTGGTTCAAACTTTTGGACTTCACCTGATCCTAAAAGTAATGTTGTGAAACCTCCTCAAAACTAAAGACCATAGCACACAACCTAGCGGTGTTTTTGACTTTCAGTTAATGAAAGGAAGATGAATGCTACCTTTAGTAAAATGTTTTGTCATTTCTTTGATATTCCATTTTTCATGTAACTTTTGAACTGATTTGAAATCGGAGTTTCATTGTACCAAATACCTGCGTTCAACAATCTTCTGAAATTCAATTCTTGCAAGAACACCTCGGGATCTTGCTTGTATCCTCGTGATGATTAGAGCTAAACGGTCATCTCGCATCTCCTCCAGCAGTCCAAGCAACCCAGCTTTGAAGAATACCTAAGATCAAGAAACCCATGTTGAAGGCACTTTTTGTGTGTGTTAGAATTACTCTTGACCACTTTATTATCATCATGGACATGATAACACCAAGAATAACAGCATATGCCAAAATTTGTTCTATCCGTACTGACCTTGGTGTGACCCAGTTTGTACTGGTTGTGATCTATATCCAAAGAGCCCAAAAGCTTCTCTGAAGCCTTTTTGTTATCAATGAACTGTCCTTCAGGAATAGCACTTGGGTTTAAAATGCGATACCTGGAAAAAAAAAGTGAGCATTTCAACTTTATTTTATATTACATAAAATGTCAAACCACAAAAACACACCAGAATGGATAACTAAGAAATTTGATGTTGCTTTATTTTTATATTTTCCAACTATAGATGTATCTAACAGACACCTCTGCTTGAAATCTCCATAGAGGATCCTGTTGGGGAAACCCTTTCTGCAGATCCTGATGCCTTCCAGCACACCGTTACAGCGCAGCTGGTGCATCACCAGAGGGTTCTCCATGGCCCCTGGAGTCTTGGTCTCGTTGGGGATGATGCAGCGTACAAAGTGAGGGTGAGTCGACCTCAAGTTGGTCATCAGCTTGTTCAGGTTCTCCTGATAGCACATCATAGAGAAAAGTATTGCCATTATACATTACAATTCGAAATGACTTTTAAGGTCCTAAATTCAGGAATAATGTTTCTATTAACCAATTTATAACATGTACAGTTATACTGATATTACCCTGTGCAAAGCTGATACAGTTTGGAAGGAAGAACCTTTCTTCTTGGTTCCACCTTTGCCCTTCCCACCAGATTCAGCTGTAAGATACAGTTGTTATTTGTGGGAAAGTGGGCAGGGGAGGGTTGGGCCAGTAGCTTATTACATGATGCTTTAATAATCACTTGTAAACTAAGATGCTAGTAATTTTTTAAAACCTACCTGAGTCAGCTCCTGCATAATTTGCAAAGAGAGTTGCAAGCAGTTTGACGGTCGACTTTTGGTACAATGCCACAACAGTCTCATTCAGAGGATCCTTGTTCTTCACCAACCAGTTGTTGATATTGTAATCAACAGTTCCAGCGTAGTGAACCAGGGCAAAATGAGCCTCTGGTTTTCCTTTGACAACTCTGGGCTTCTGGAAGTTGCTGGATTTTCCCAGGTGGTTGTCATAGAGCTTAGCTTTAAAGTGGCATCACTGGCTTTGGGGAACATGCACTCCTCTTCAAGGATGGACATGATACCCATGGGCTAAAGGACAGAAAGTATAAGTGTTTGTTAAGGACTATATTTGCATTAGTTTTAGCTGAACATGTAATTGTACAGTGTTTCACCTTTTCAATCAGGTCGATACAGGCCTGCAGATCCATGCCAAAGTCAATGAAAGTCCATTCGATGCCCTCTTTCTTGTACTCTTCCTGCTCCAGTACAAACATGTGGTGGTTGAAAAACTGTTGCAGTTTTTCGTTGGTGAAGTTGATGCACATCTGCTCAAAGGTGTTGAACTGAAATGAAATGGACCACAGTATGTTCATGATTTAAAATGCATCCTTACATTAGGGACAAATATAAGATTAGAATATATTTTCCAAACTCACATCAAAGATCTCAAATCCAGCAATGTCAAGCACCCCAATAAAATACTGACGAGGCTGTTTGGTGTCCAGGGACTGGTTGATTCTCATTACCATCCACAGAAACATCTTCTCATACACTGACTTTGACAGCGCACCGATAGCGTAGTTCACCTAACAAGGAAATGCATAAAAGTACATGTTAGGTATTTTAGTACCATGGGAGCATTTACTGGATATTGTTTATATAGTGACATTATACAGGAAAACTCTGTCATTCAATAAGGCCCCTTTGTTTTAGTTATTTTTCTCTTTGACCCAAGAATTGATGTGTGAGAATCACAGGCTGGTACAAGGTTGAAATACCACAGAGATCACTCCCTCAGCTACATTAGTTTCTAAATCTCTTAGGAGACGCCTGTTGAAGGCCAGATGGTTTGTTTCAGAATTCACTAATGAAAGAACTCTTTATTTCGTGCCTTGAAAATATGTCGCTGAGATAATCACAATTGTAGCTGAACTGATAAACTATACAAAGGAGTGCTTCTTCACCCAAGGGCAGGAAGACGCTCCCTTATCTTGGTCTGTACTGGTTTAAACTGATAATCTGCTGTCTCATGAATTTTACCCTCTATATAAACTGTTGTACTTGTGAATAAAGTTGAGTCAATTTGGGAAGACAACCTGAAGCAGTCTCTGTTTTCTTGTTCTCCCAAGCTGCTCCCGAGCTCGTACTAACACGCTGAATGGCATGCTTGAATATTACTTGAGAATATATTTGACTGTGTTACAGACTAAGGGACATTCTCTGCTGATAGACGTCCACGCCTCGGAGGAAGCGATCCACGGATTAGGCCCTGGAAACTGTTTCCTTCAGTACATTGATAAAGTTTAGGGAATTATTTTGGAATTCTCCAAAAGTTTCATATTATCTCACCTGGGCCACATTTTGTCCCTTGGTGACCCACTCGTTTCCTACTTTGACTCTTGGGTGACAGAGACCTTTGATGAGGTCAGCAGAGTTCAGGCCCATCAGATATGCAACTTTGTCAGCATCTGTGGCAAAAAAGCAGTTTGGATTTAAAGTCATCAGTGCCCACAGAGATCCTCACTGACTGTAGTTTGTCAATAGTCTTCTCTCACCTTCAGTACCATCGGCCTCTGCCTGCTCTTCTCTCTGCTTCTGTTTAAACTTCATGTTGCCATAGTGCATGATTGCACCAGTAAGCTTGTAAATACTGTTCTTCTCTTCTTGAGTGAAGCCCAGAACATCAAAGGCTTCCTGACAAAAATCAAAAACATTATTTTACTATTTTTGTTTTTGCTTTTGAATTTTGGACTAAAATTGCTGCAGTGCATCTAAGATTCAACTCACATCAGTGGCCATCAGCTCTTCAGAATCATTGATAGAGGCTACTGTTGTCTCTCCTTGGGAGATGAAGGCGTAGTCATAAGGGTTGTTGGTAATGAGCAGCATCTCTAAGGAGATAGAAAAATATAAAATTAAATAATGTCTAGCTGTTTTCCATATAGTGATAGTTCTTAAGGTTAATGACTGTGTACCTAGAAGTTCAGGCTTTATCTGAGACAGGATCTGGTAGAAAATGTGGTAGTCCCTCTCAGCTTTGAGCTGGAAGGTCACACGAGACTTTTCTAGAAGGTCTGTAAGAGAAATCAATTATTTGTAACTTATCTGGTATACAGATAAGTTGCATGTAATAGTTAAGTCTACTTTCAAATTTTCCACATAAACACAGTTACTTACAAGTTTCAATGTCAGCAGAGGCCAGCTTTCCTCGGTTGTCAAAGTGAATACGGATGAATTTCCCCTGTTAGGTGGAAAAAAGCAGATTTTAGTCATCATATAGCCATGCACAGGGTTGGTGTGACAAAGGAGAATGCAAGGGATAGAGTGAAGTTGAGGCAGATATTCCACTGTGTTGACCCCTAAAGGGAGTAGCTAGAAGAAAAAGATGGAGATGATAAAGGGAAAGAAGAATCTAAAGACACTCACAAATCTGGAGGAGTTGTCATTCCTGATGGTCTTGGCATTGCCAAAGGCCTCTAGAGCAGGGTTAGCCTGGATGATTTGATCTTCAAGGGTTCCCTGATTTAGTTAAACAAAACAGCAATATTATGACTATATTTTGTTTGTCGAACATTAAGAAAATCTTGTCTCGTAAGAACCTTCTTCTCTGCAGCTGAATCTTTCTTCCCACTTGGGACAGCAGCAATGCTGGCAAAGTACTGAATGACACGCTTGGTGTTGACAGTCTTTCCAGCTCCAGATTCTCCACTGAGTAGAAAAAGACATACATTTCAAGACCAAGAAGTATAACTCTTAACTGCTGAAAAAAGACCCTTGTTGGTAAAGTTACTTACGTGATAAGGATTGACTGGTTTTCTCTGTCTGTCAGCAAGAGAATATCAGAAAATCAGGGAAAATGCGACGATGTCCAAACAAAATGTCATTCAAGATGAATGCTAAAAGGGATATTTGTACCTGCCAGCATGTACTGGTAGGCATTGTCAGAGATGGAGAAGATATGAGGAGGAGCTTCACTCCTCTTCTTTCCTCTGTAGGCAGCGACCACCTCCTGGTTGTAGACTGGCAGCCACTTGTAGGGATTGACAGTCACACAGAACAACCCAGAGTAGGTCTGATAGTTGGTGAAAAGAGGAGAGCAAAGTGTTAAATATGTAGAATTTGTGGGAGGGCAGTTAGTGTGTTGTGCTGTCAGCTCACGTAGATCATCCACGCTGCGTAACGCTCTTTGAGGTTAAACAGCACAGCTGGTTCATGGAGGAAGGTGAACATCGCCATGTCTTCAATTTTATCGAACTTTGGCGGGTTCTGAGGGTGCACATCGCAATCCTTCACTGTGACGGTCTGCAAATGGAAATCAAACAGTTAACAGCCATGTTAACCAAAACAGCACCAAAGTCCTTTGTAGACACATGTACACACTTATGCAGAACCTGAACTTTATTCACCTTTCCAAATTCGGTGTCAGCAGTGACTTTGTCGCCATCGCGGCTAGTGATGGTTGCTTTTACGTACTCAACTTCAGGGTCAGGAACAAAGCACTCTTTCTTCATATCAAATGGGCGAGTCTGGGCCTCCAGACGCTCCTTATCTGACTTTCTCAGGTAAGGAGCCGCCGCCCCAAACTCTTTCATGGCAGCATCCCCCATTTTTCAACCTGTTACAAATGTGAACGTTAGTCTCTAACAATGAATGCAAGCTAGAATCATTCATTGACGATTATTAACGGTGTGAACTGCAGTCGTTTAGCCATCAGTTACCAGGTAAAGTGCGAAAAGATGCAGGAATAAGCTACAACATCAAAACAGAAGAACAGCAATCATGTCATTAAAATGCAGTGTTCTGCTGCAAAATCTTGTATTATGACATTCATGTGAGTGTCACACGTACCACTCTCAGAACTGTTGTTGCAGACCAAGAATGCCACCTGCCCACCCACTCATGACATTTTTTTATTGCTGCAATAGTGTGGTGTCAGTCAAAAACTAATATGTACAGAGGCAAAAGACTTTCAGTCAGTTTTATTTATGTTGCCGAATTACAAAATCTCAGCTTTGCCTCAAGCTGCCGTACAATCTTTACACCATTCAAAACTCGTGTTTTAATACTTTGAATTTCAATACAGAATTATGCCATAAAAACCATGATGAGAATAGACACCCATTTACTTAGAGTATTAACAATAAAACTTGCACATTTCTAGTTAAACCACAAAAATGTAAGTCCTAACTGAGGGTCATTCCTGTTCAACTCAAACCAAGCACAGCTTTTACCTAGGGTGGGTTGGATTCCAAAAAGAAGAGCAGGATCTGTCAGGACTTGCTGTTTAGACCAGAAGAAAAAGCAAAACAAGAAAAATTCCATTACCACTACCACACAGCATCATAATTTATTACCCCACACTAATACGATGTACATGTAAAGTATGGTGACCTTCTATTCTGAACATTAAATTATATGTAAATGTTTTGCTTACCTTTGACTCTAAACCTTCAATCAAGTGGAGTGAAGAGCCCTGCAGCTGACATCTGCCCTTCATCCTTTAATAAAGGTTCTTTATCCACCAAATATGGCCTGAATTTTTGGAGAAAGGTTACACATTAAAAAAGCATTCTCCTAATTGGGAAAGTTGTACTGCTGCTATTTGTTGCGTTCACCTTGTGACAAGCAGGGCGAGAACAATACAGGACAAAGAAAGGGGAGGGCAAGAGGTGGGGATCAGGGACAGGCTTGATATCAAGTGACTCTTATTTTATTCGTTTAATTCGTAACGGGTAACTTTATATATTGTTTGTAATACTGATGAAATTCAGTTTAATACTTATATTTATATCATATTTACAATCTTAATATTTATATTTGTCTGGGTTTTGCTCACTAGAATATTCCACATGTATTCACTATGTCTGAAGAATCTTCAGCCTCTGTTCTATAAAGTCATTATTGTCACATGGTGTTGGTTGTTTGCTTACAGCAGCTGATAATCTTTCCTGATTACAACTTGCATACAAGGCAAAGCAACAAAACCAAGAGCAAATGGTCTGTTTAGAATCAGGGGTTGTGACAATAATTCATTCAAAACCTGGTTACAAACAGTAACTCTCATTTTACTACTTAGCACCAGTCAATTCAATGCCCCTTTTCCAAATTCCAAACAAAGTAGACAAGCAAAATTAATAAGACTAATTTGCTCCTAAAATATTGTACCTCTTGAACAGCTTTGGCCTCATTGCTCATGCTAAGATGTTTAATCAGAAAGGCAAACTTCAGCAAAGGTCAGGCATGTGAAAGGAAGGTGAAAAGCATTTCTGGAGTCACTGCTGCTGAAACAAAGTATAGCAGCTGTTGTCAAGTGAGAGCTAAGATCAGGGATCACTCACCACTGTTCTGCCCAGTTTGGTCTTCACCCTTTGTCTCACAGTGTCGTCATGGCATTGTTCCCTCTCCTTTGGCCTTGAGGACAAAGATAACCCTGTGAAATTCTTGTCTGGATTTTTTCTCTCTGATTGTGAAGGGCGGCAGTAGCAGAAGTGCATTCTTTGATGTCACGATGGACGGGGGGTAACAGGTGCACATCACTGAAAATGCTCCATATGTTGAAATGTATCTGTTTGATGGTGTTTTCTAAATGTTTGCATTAAAGCACTGGGAAGTTTTAGCTAATTAGGGTTTTATGCCAAGTATTTTCTTTGCCCACAGTCATTGAACATTAAAATTAGATGAACATTGTCGTGGGGAGAAGCAGAGACTTTATGTGATGCAGACAGATCTCCATTATCAGCCCTTAATAACTGAGGGAATTAGAAATTTGGTTTCCTATGGTAAAATGAGAATGACCTTCACTGTGGTGCAGAGCAGTGTTCCAGTGGATCAGAGATTGCTTTCACATTGTTGGACTCATTCTCATTCTCAGCTGTTTAAGCCCCTGTGGAAATCTTCATCTGCTCTTTGGTCCCTTCCTGGCTTCCATCCCTCATCTAGCTGCCTAACCCCTCTAAGGTAAGGTCACATGTTCTTTCATGGAAAAAATAAATGGTGTCACTTTATGCTGGGGGTGTCTGTCTAATAATCCTAAAGTATTTCTAAACATCAAAGGCCTAGATGTTAAGTAGTTGACACACAGAAGCCTGCAGCACAGAGGTGACGGTATTAAAAGGCTGTCAAGCCCCAAAGAGTCAAAGGAAAGACAAACAAAGCCACGGCTTAGATGGTTGTGTGTGTCTCAAAGTCTGGATAGGAAAGAATAACACGAAGCAATTCGCTTATTTTCTTATAATCTCTCCATTAATAGTGAAGACCTTTGGGCTGTGTTAGATCAGGGTCAGCTTTCACCTAAACCACTGACAGCACAAGAAGGTGTGCTTCAGTCTCTACTGTCCTGCTGCAGAAGCATAATGAACGGTAAGCCTGTCAAAGATTCAAATAGGAATACATGTGCTGTAAAATGTGCTCTTATTTTCTTAGACATACTCTAGTTTCTTTTTTGTGTGTGTTTATATGGTTTATTTCCATCTATATTTGGATTTAATGTGATACATTTTCTCTGAAAGTAGCACAGTGAAAATTGATGATGTCTTTTAAAGAATAATTCTTATTAGTTGTTTTGTTTTACAGCGTTAAAATATCCGTATATCACAGTGAGAGATTGTAAGCAAACCTGAGATATGTCCAACAGTTGTTTAGTGCATTAGACACGAGGCTTCTTTAACCAATGTTGTTTAGTTACAGCCTGGTCTAAATCATCAGGATATTATGTTACAGCAATTATACTCAACTAATTACACTGTTTTTATATTTGACCAGATTATAATGTGTTACAAAAAACACACACAGAGATATAAAGTTAAAAATGCACATCATAAATATAGTAAATAATTTACTCTTGAATTTGTTTGTTTCATTGTTCTGCACGTAGACATTCTAATACTGTCCTCCTCTGGTTTTAGGGAAGATTTTAATCATATTTATTCAATCATTTTCTGCTATTCAGTCACATTGTTGGAGTATTTTAAACTGAGAGTATTTTCTTTCTCTCTCCTTTTACTTAGTGAAAGTAACTATTTCTAGCACTGCCTCCACACTCACCAATGGTCCTTGTGTATATAGTAGCATAAGATAACAAGTGGTATTGTGCTGATGGCAAAGAACTCATCACGTTACAGTTATTTCATTGAACACGTGTCACATTATGAAGTCTCTTCACTAAAAAAGCTTTGCAGCTAATTTTAAGACATCAGGATCAGTGGTATGGGACAAGACTGAGTAAGAGACATACAAGCACTTTTACTTTGAAAATTACACTTTATTGGGGAAATAATTTTTAGGCTTCATTCTGTTTAGCAACCATAAAATTACCATTATTCCTCCCTCAGATTTATTATAAAAAAACAACTTCTGACACAGCATTTTTTAGACCATTGCGAGTCAATTTAAGCTGAATACAGACTCTCATTATAGCTTTTCTATTTCTTTCCTAAACATATTTTTGTCTACTTTGATTACTGCAGCACGATAAATCTCAAAAACTTGCTGGATTGAGTTTTAAAGGCTTCACACAGAATGAAATCTGCATTTGCAGAAATCTATTTCTGTGCCATATGCTGTATGAAATGATTGTAAAAAATAATTTCAGAAAATATTTTCAGAATACCCACTAACAGTTAATAAAACTTTGCAGATTTGCGGCTGCAACTGTGAATGAATATCAGAAAACAGCACAGAATTCAACACAAGGTGGCAGAAGTTACCCACCTAACATCACACCCCAAACATGATCCTGTGTAAAAAATATAGTGATTAGTAAACTGATTAGCTTCACATATTGTTAATGTGGTAACACCTTACACTTAATATCAGTTTGTCCTTGAATTCTTTGGTACTTTATAGAATTTTTATACCTTCAAAAACATTGGTATTTTGTCAGTGATGAACACGTGAAATGTAAGTTTTATATGTTATTATTGACGACTTTATGTGGTGCTACTTAAAAATGAATAAGCACACATTAATTTGAATGCACTTTGCTTTATTCTACAGTTACTTTGGAGACAAAGGAGAACCAATAGAGAAGATCCCAAAGGTCTTAGGTGGCCGTCTGTGAGTTTCACTCCTCATCTAGCCCTTTCTGTGATGAAGAATGATAAGAAAGCAAACAATGAGAGACAGATTAGTGACTGAGGACTAACAATGCTCAAATGTGTTGGACAATAAGTACACCAGTAGTTGCTGCCTTAAAACTAATATTCCCATCAATCCATCCATTCGCTTCCGCTTATCCTGTATCAAGGTCGCGGGGGGCTGGAGCTGTCTCATGGTGAGAGGCAGGGTACATCCCGGACTGGTTGCCAGTCTGTCACAGGGCTAACACATAGACACAGACGACCATTCACACTCACATGCACTCCCGCATACACACCTATGGGTAATTTAGAGTTTCCAATTAACCTGCCCCACTAACTGCATGTCTGTGGATGGTGGGAGGAAGCCAGAGAACCGGGAGCGAACCCACGCAAGCACAGGGAGAACATGCAAACTCCACACAGAAAGACACCGGCGTGATGGTGGAATTAAACTCAGGACCTTCTTGCTGTGAGGCAACAGTGCTAACCACTGTTATATTAAAATACATATTAGCTCAATAGGAAATAATTTTATTCACTGAGAAGCATAGGCTTCCATAGTTGAGTGTAGCTGATGAGTGTCTCTACTTATCATTTCATTCTATACTAATATTTATAACCTGCCTAGCTAAAAAGTTACAGCTAAGCCAAAAATGTGTTTTTATCTCTACTTTTATCATAGATATCATTTTACTCAAAAGACATTTATTTTATTCCATCCATCCATCCATTTGCTTCCGCTTATCCTTTTTCAGGGTCGCGGGGGGCGCTGGAGCCTATCCCAGCTGTCATAGGGCGAGAGGC